GTCTGGCCAGGTTGCCCGGGCGGGTCTCGAACCCGCGGGCTTAGGCAGTCCACTCACCTCAGCCTCCCAAAGTGCGGGATTACAGGCTGAGCTACCGAGCCCAACCGAGCTTAACTTTTTTAAGTGTACTATATATACATTACAGAATCCAAATCCAAATCCAATCTTGTGTATCCTTCTAGAGACAGTCTGTGCACATGAGCATAACCTTGTATTTTTTAAAATTGTAAATCTTACCATAAACACTTTTCTGCATCTTCCTTCACCACCACTTTCTAAAACTCCAAGCACACACTTAAATATACACTCAAGATGGGTAGGAGCATTGGCTCTGGAACCAAACCCCAGGACTTAAACCCTGGCTTCATTACTTGCAAGTTGTAATCTTGCTCAAGTTACTTAACCTTTTTTTGTCAGTTTCTCAGTTTCAAAGATATTGGAATTAATGAGATTGTTTTGAGACATGAGCTCTACACAATTATGACAAGGCCTGGCACAGAGTAAGTGCTCAATAAATTGTAGTTATCATCATCATCAAGTGCAATTTTTATTCTTTTTTTAGTAACTGTAGAATACCACTGCATAGGTATTTTACTTACCTGACTTGCTGTTGATGATTATCTTTTATGATTATAGTGTTAGCAATGAATTAATTGTCTTGTCATACATTTTATCACTGAGATTGGGCATATTTTCATGGGCTTAAGAGTTGTTAGTATTTTTTTTTTCTGTGAACTGTTGTTCAGAGAGTTTGCCTCTTAAGTTATTAGTCATTTTACTGATTGTAAGAGATTAACCAGGCTGGTCCTCTCACCTCAGCCTCCCAAAGTGCAGGATTATAGGCATGAGTCACTGCACCTGACCCAAATTCTTTTTTGAAGTAGATGTGTAAATAAATAAAACATACCTCTTCAAAAATAACAAATTCCTCCTTGATCTTTGAGTTTAAGTGGAAGTATTTGACTTATCATTATTGAGGATATTCTCCTAAAGGCAGAGGAAAAACATTTCCCAAGCAAAATCCAGGTTAAATACATTCAAGTAAATCAACCCTGCATTGTTGAGAAATATTTAGGCATTTATCCATCTGAAGTAATTTAACTATAGGATAATCAATGGGTTCTTTTGCGACTTTATTCTCTTCTTACCTCATTTAGGTTGCGAGTTATAAGGACTCAGCATCATGTAGAAGCACTTGTTGAGCATCAGAATGGCCAGGTTGTGGTCTCAGCATCCACTCGTGAATGGGCTATTAAGAAGCACCTGTATAGTACCAGAAATGTGGTGGCGTGTGAGAGTATAGGACGCGTGCTGGCAGAGCGGTGCTTAGAGGCAGGAATCAACTTCATGGTCTACCAGCCAACTACTTGGGAAGCAACCTCAGACTCGGTATGTTTGTTTTCATGTACTTGTTCAAAAGATAGTGTGTTAATTCTTGATGTTAGATACTTACTTATTAGGTAGATGCAAAAGTAGTTGCGGTTTTGGACTGCGAATTTTCAATCCTTATAACTAGTCTCAAACACATCTTTATTAATTAAAATAGGAACCATTACAATCAACATATTGTTGCCAATGAGACATAAATTTGTTCCTAGAGCATAAAAATCCTTGCTTTGGGATTTGATGAACTCTTGGAAAGCATTTTCTACATCTTGCTGGTTGTGGAAGTGTTTTCTTTTTTTTTAAGAAGTAGAAGGAAGTAAAGTTTTATTTATTCACCTTTCACAGATTGGAAAGGGTGCCAAATCTCGGTGGGCCTTTGAAAAATGTTAGGGTCACACTCCCATCAGGGCCTCCAAAATGTTAGGTCAGGCCTACCAGGGTGTGAGTGTCTGGTGTGCAATCTGACGCTACATGAAAGATGCAAAGAATTGCACAGAAGTTAGATTAGAAAATATAGTTTATTTAGAAGATAAATTGGAGAGAGAAAGACGGGATTCCCCTCCCCAAGAGAGGAAAGGGGGCCAAAGTTTAAGAAAACATGGCCTGGCCATAGCTCAAAGAGCACATGGCCACACCATAATTTAGCAAGGCAGTGGCTGAAAGTGTTTTCTCTGAAAAAAGTTGTCGATATGCTTGAAGAAGTGGTTGATTGATGAGAGGTCAGTGAATATGGCAAATGAGGCAAAACTTCATAGCCAGTTCGTTCAACTTTGAAGTTTTGGTTGTGTGACGTGTGGTTGGGTATGATTGTGGAGAACTTATTCTACTCAACAGGCATTGCAGTTTTCAGCGCATCTCATCAATTTGCTGAGCATACTTCTCAAATTTCATGGTTTTGCCGAGATTCAGAAAGCTCTGGTGAATCAAACCAGCAGCAAACCACCAAACAGTGACCATGACCTTTTTTTGGTGCAAGTTTGGCTTTGGGAAGTGCTGTGGAGCCTCTTTTCAGTCCAACCACTGAGCTGGTGATCACGGGTTGTCATATAAAATACACTTTTTGTTGCACGTCACAATCTGATCAAGAAATGGTTTGTTGTTGTTACGTATAATAAGAGAAAATGATACTTCAAAATGATGATTTTCTTTTTTGATTTTTGGTCACCCACTTATTGAGCTTTTCACCTTTCCAATTTGTTTCATATGCCCAAGGACTGTAGAATGGTCGGTGAGTTGAATTCAGCAACTTCTTGCCTAGTTGTAAGAGGATCAGCTTCTCATGATTGCTCTTAGTTGGTCATTGTCAACTTCTGATGGCTGGCCACTTCACTCCTCATCTTCAAGGCTCTCTTCTCCTTTACAAAACTTCTTGAACCGTCACTGAACTGTACATTCGTTAGCAGTTTCTGGACCAGATGCGTTATTTTTTTGTAATTTTTAAATTTTTTTGAGTCAGAGTCTCACTCTTGCCCAGGTTGGAGTGCAGTGGCATGCCCATGGCCACTGCAACCTCGACCTGCTGGCATCAGGCGATCCTTCCATGTCAGCCTTCGAAGTAGCTGGAACTACAGGTGTGTGCCACCACGTCAGGCTAATATTTTTTATGTATTGTAGAGACAAGGTCTTGAACCCATGGGCTTAGGCAATCCTCTCACTGCAGCCTCCCAAAGTTCTGGGATTACAGGCATGAACCACCACACCCAGCTCAAATGTGTTATTGATGTTGCAGTTGTCACTGCTGCTTTGTGACCCATTTTGAACTGAGTAAGAAAATCGCTCAAATTTGCTTTTTGGCTAATATCATTTCCATAGTCTAAAGTAAATATAAAGTAAACAAGTAACAAACCGCTAGCAAAAAAACATAAAGTGAGCCGGGCTCGGTGGCTCAGACTGTAATCCCATGCCTTGGGAGGCTGAGGTGAGTGGATTGCCTGAGCCCGCGGGTTCGAGACCC